GAACACGTTCCCACGGTCTCCTACAGAGAGCAAGTTCCCATGATCTCCTACAGAGATCAAGTACCCAGGTCCCCTACAGAGCAAGTCCCACGGTCTCCTACAGAGGACACGTTCATGATCTCCTACAGAGATCAAGTACCGGTCCCCTACAAGAGCAAGTCCCACGGTCTCCTACAGAGGACACGTTCCCACGGTCTCCTACAGAGAGCAAGTTCCCATGATCTCCTACAGAGACAAGTCCCACGGTCTCCTACAGAGAACACGTTCCACGGTCTCCTACAGAGAGCAAGTTCCACGGTCTCCTACAGAGAGCAAGTTCCCATGATCTCCTACAGAGAGCAAGTCCCACGGTCCCCAGCCAGAGAGCAGTCCCACGGTCTCCTAGAGAACATGTTCCCCACGGTCTCCCACAGAGAGAGTTCCTCATGATCTCCTACAGAGATCAAGTACCCACGGTCCCCTCACAGAGAGCAAGTACTCCACGGTCTTCCCCATAGAGAACACATTGTTCCACGGTCTCCTACAGAGAGCAAGTTCCCACGGTCTCCTCAGAGATCAAGTACCCACGGTCCCCTACAGAGAGCAAGTCTCCCACGGTCTCTACAGCAGAGAACACAAGTGTCTCACGGTCCCCACAGAGAGCAAGTCCCACGGTCTCCCTACAGAGAACACGTTCCCACGGTCTCCCTACAGAGAGTAAGTTCCCAAGCAGATCTCCTACAGAGATCAAGTACCCACGGTCTCCTACAGAGAACACGTTCCCACGGTCTCCTACAGAGAGCAAGTCCCACGGTCTCCTACAGAGAACACGTTCCCATGATCTCCTACAGAGATCAAGTACCCACGGTCTCCTACAGAGAACACGTTCCCACGGTCTCCTACAGAGAGCAAGTCCCACGGTCTCCTACAGAGAACACGTTCCCATGATCTCCTACAGAGATCAAGTACCCACGGTCTCCTACAGAGAACACGTTCCCACGGTCTCCTACAGAGAGCAAGTCCCACGGTCTCCTACAGAGAACACGTTCCCATGATCTCCTACAGAGATCAAGTACCCACGGTCTCCTACAGAGAACACGTTCCCACGGTCTCCTACAGAGAGCAAGTCCCACGGTCTCCTACAGAGAACACGTTCCCATGATCTCCTACAGAGATCAAGTACCCACGGTCTCCTACAGAGAACACGTTCCCACGGTCTCCTACAGAGAGCAAGTCCCACGGTCTCCTACAGAGAACACGTTCCCATGATCTCCTACAGAGATCAAGTACCCACGGTCTCCTACAGAGAACACGTTCCCACGGTCTCCTACAGAGAGCAAGTCCCACGGTCTCCTACAGAGAACACGTTCCCATGATCTCCTACAGAGATCAAGTACCCACGGTCTCCTACAGAGGCAAGTTCCCATGATCTCCTACAGAGATCAAGTACCCACGGTCCCCTACAGAGAGCAAGTCCCACAGTCTCCTACAGAGAACACGTTCCCACGGTCTTCTACAGAGCACGTTCCACGGTCTCCTACAGAGCAAGTCCACGGTCTCCTGCGAGCGATATGATCTCCTACGGTCATACCCTGATCTCCCACAGAGGCGTTCCACGGTCTCCTACAGAGAGCAAGTCCGGTCTCCTACAGAGAACACGTTCACTGATCTCCTACAGAGATCAAGTACCCACGGTCCTACAGAGAGCAAGTCCCACGGTCTCCTACAGAGCAAGTTCCATGATCTCCTACAGAGATCAGTACCCACGGTCCTACAGAGGCAAGTTCACATGGTCTACAGGATCAAGTACCACCGGTCCCCAACAGAGAGCAAGTCCACGGTCTCCTACAGAGAGCAAGTTCCCATGATCTCTACAGAGATCAAGTACCCACGGTCCCCAACAGAGAGCAAGTCCCACGGTCTCTACAGAGAACACGTTCCCAAGGTCTCCTACAGAGCAAGTTCCCATGATCTCTACAGAGATCAAGTACTGATCCCCAACAGAAAGCAAGTCCACGGTCTCCTACAGAGAACACGTTCCCACGATTCTACCACAGAAGCAAGTTCCATGATCTCCTACAGAGTCAAGTACCCTGGTCCCTACAGAGAGCAAGTCCACGGTCTCTACAGAGAACACGTTCAACGGTCTCCTACAGAAAAATTCCATGATCTCCTACAGAGATCAAGTACCCACGGTCCCCAACAGAGAGCAAGTCCCACGGTCTCCTACAGAGAACACGTTCCCACGGTCTCCTACAGAGAGCAAGTTCCCATGATCTCTACAGAGATCAAGTACCCCAGTCCCCAACAGAGAGCAAGTCCACGGTCTCCTACAGAGAACACGTTCCACGGTCTCCTACAGAGCAAGTTCACATGATCTCCTACAGAGATCAAGTACCACGGTCCCAACAGAGGCAAGTCACGGTCCTACGAGAGCAAGTCCACGGTCTCCTACAGAGAACACGTTCCACGGTCTCACAGAGCAAGTTCCATGATCTCCTACAGAGATCAAGTACCCAGGTCCCTACAGAGCAAGTACCCACGGTCTCCTACAGAGAACACGTTCCACGGTCTCCTACAGAGAGCAAGTTCCACGGTCTCCTACAGAGTCAAGTACCCACGGTCCCTACAGAGAGCAAGTTCCACGGTCTCCTACAGAGAAACGTTCCACGGTCCACAGAGAGCAAGTCCACGGTCTCCTACAGAGAACACGTTCCCACGGTCTCCTACAGAGCAAGTTCCATGATCTCCTACAGAGATCAAGTACCCACGGTCTCCTACAGAGAACACGTTCTGATCTCCTACAGAGCAAGTTCCCATGATCTACAGAGATCAAGTACCCACGGTCTCCTACAGAACACGTTCACGGTCTCCTACAGAGCAAGTCCGGTCTCCTACAGAGAACACGTTCCCACGGTCCCTACAGAGAGCAGTCACGGTCTCCTACAGAACACGTTCCCACGGTCTCCTACAGAGAACGTTCCGGTCCCTACAGAGAGCAAGTTCCATGATCTGAGATCAGTACCCGATGCTCCTACAGAGATCAAGAACCCACGGTCCCTACAGAGAGCAAGTTCCATGATCTCCTACAGAACACGTTCCCACGGTCTCCTACAGAGCAAGTTCCCATGATCTCTACAGAGATCAAGTACCCACGTCTCCTACAGAGATCAAGAACCCACGGTCTCCTACAGAGAACACGTTTCACGGTCTCCTACAGTGAACATGTTCCCACGATCTCCTACAGAGGCAAGTCCACGGTCTCCTACAGAGAACACGTTCCCACGGTCTCCTACAGAGAGCAAGTTCCCATGATCTCCTACAGAATCAAGTACCCTATGAGAGCAAGTCCCACGGTCTCCTACAGAGAACACGTTCCACGGTCTCCTACAGAGAGCAAGTTCCCATGATCTCCTACAGAGATCAAGTACCCAGGTCTCCTACGAGAGCAAGTCCACGGTCTCCTACAGAGAACACGTTCCACGGTCTCCTACAGAGAGACAAGTTCCCATGATCTCTACAGAGATCAAGTACCCTGGTCCCCAACAGAGATCAATGCCCACGGTCTCCTACAGAACACGTTCCCACGGTCTCTACAGAGAGCAAGTTCCCATGATCTCCTACAGAGATCAAGTACCCACGGTCCCCAACAGAGATCAAATCCCGGTCTCTACAGAGAACACGTTCGGTCTCCTACAGAGAGAAGTTCCCATGATCTCCTACAGAGATCAATGCCACGGTCCCTACAGAGAGCAAGTCCCGGTCTCCTACAGAGAGACGTTCCCACGGTCTCCTACAGAGATCAAGTTCCCACGGTCCCTACAGAGAAACAGTCCCACGGTCTCCTACAGAGAACAAGTTCCCATGATTCTACAGAGATCAAGTACCACGGTCCCCTACAGAGAGCAAGTCCCACGGTCTCCTACAGAGAACACGTTCCACGGTCTCCTACAGAGACAGAAGTTCCATGATCTCCTACAGAGATCAAGTACCCTGATCCCCTACAGAGCAAGTCCACGGTCTCCTACAGAAACATTCCCCACGGTCTCTACAGAGAACACGTTCCCACGGTCTCCTACGAGAGCAAGTTCCCACGGTCTCCCTACAGAGATCAAGTACCCACGGTCCCTACAGAGCAAGTCCACGGTCTCTACAGAGAACGTTCCCACGGTCTCCTACAGAGATCAAGTACCCACGGTCCCTACAGAGAGCAAGTCCACGGTCTCCTACAGAGAACACGTCCCCACGGTCTCCTACGAAGTCAAGTACCCACGGTCCCTACAGAGGCAAGTCCACGGTCTCCTACAGAGAACACGTTCCCACGGTCTCCTACAGAGAGCAAGTTCCACGATCTCCTACAGAGATCAAACCCACGGTCCCCTACAGAGATCAAGTACCCACGGTCTCACAGAGAACACGTTCCCACGGTCTCCTACAGAGAGCAAAGGTTCCCACGGTCTCCTACAGAGATCAAGTACCCACGGTCCCTACAGGCAAGTCCACGGTCTCCTACAGAACAAGTTCCACGGTCTCTACAGAGCAAGTTCCCTGATCTCCTACAGGATCAAGTACCACGGTCTCCTACAGAGAACACGTTCCCGGTCTCCTACAGAGAGCAAGTATCACGGTCCCCAACAGAGCAAGTCCACGGTCTCTACAGAAGTTCCACGGTCTCCTACAGAGCAAGTCCCCACGGTCTCCTACAGAGAACACGTTCCCACGGTCTCTACGAGAGCAAGTTCCCCACGGTCCTGCAGAGAGCAAGTCACGGTCTCCTACGAACACGTTCACGGTCTCCTACAGAGAGACAAGTTCCCATGATCTCCTACGAGATCAAGTACCCTGGTCCCTACAGAGAGCAAGTCCCACAGTCTCCTACAGAGAACACGTTCCCACGGTCTTCTACAGAGAGCAAGTTCCCATGATCTACAGAGATCAAGTACCCACGGTCCCCTACAGAGAGCAAGTCACACGGTCTCCTACAGAGAGCAAGTCCCACGGTCTCCTACAGAGAACACGTTCCCACGGTCTCCTACAGAGAGCAAGTTCCCATGATCTCCTACAGAGATCAAGTACCCACGGTCCCCTATAGAGAGCAAGTCCCACGGTCTCCTACAGAGAACACGTTCACACGGTCTCCTACAGAGAGCAAGTCCCACGGTCTCCTACAGAGAACACGTTCCCACGGTCTCCTACAGAGAGCACGTTCCCACGGTCTCCTACAGAAAGCAAGTTCCCATGATCTCCTAGACACCAAGTTCCCATGATCTCCGGTGAGGGAGTTCCCAGTCTCTTACAGAGAGCAAGTTTGCAGGTGTGTCCTGCAGAGACCTACCACAGGTTGAAAGAATCAACAAACTAACCACAAAGAGAGGTGCAACCACGGTGTCCTGCGGAGATATCTGCTCCCACGGTGTCCTGCGGAAAGAGATGCCCTGCAGACCTACCACAGGTTGAAAGAATCTACAAACTAACCACAGAGAGGTGCTCCCACGGTGTCCTGCAGAGGTGCTCCCTCGATGTCCTGCGGACGGAGGTGCTCCCACGGTGTCCTGCGGAAAGAGATGCCCTGCAGACCTACCACAGGTTGAAAGAATCTACAAACTAACCACAAAGAGAGGTGCTCCCACGGTGTCCTGCAGAGTGCTCCTCGATGTCCTGCGGACGGAGGTGCTCCCGGTGTCCTGCGGAAAGAGATGCCCTGCAGACCTACCACAGGTTGAAAGAATCTACAAACTAACCACAAAGAGAGGTGCTCCCACGGTGTCCTGCAGAGAGGTGCTCCCTCGATGTCCTGCGGACGGAGGTGCTCCCACGGTGTCCTGCGGAAAGAGATACCCTGCAGACCTACCACAGGTTGAAAGAATCAACAAACCAACCACAAAGAGAGGTGCTCCCACGGTGTCCTGCAGAGAGGTGCTACCACGGTGTCCTGCGGAGGGAGGTGTTCCCATTCACTAACAACCTGAAAATACAGAATCATTGAAAATGTGAAGTCATAAACTGCACTGCAGAGAGGTACTCCCACGGTGTCCTGTGAAGAGGTGCTCCTAGTGTCCTGTGGAGAGGTGCTCCCACGGTGTCCTGCGGAGGGAGGTGCTCCTATTCACCAACCTGAAAATAAAGAATCAATGAAAATGTGAAATTATAACCTGCACTGCAGACAGGTACTCCCACGGTGTCCTGTGAAGAGGTGCTCCCAGTGTCCTGCGGAGAGGCGCTCCCACGGTGTCCTGCGGTCCCATTCACCAGCAATCTGAAAATAAGCAATGGATGAAAATGTGATGTTATAAACTGCACCATTTCATTAAAAATTACACAAAATTCTGGAAAAGAAAAACTAATTAGTCACTATAAAAAGCACATACACAAAAAGAGGCAGGCCAGGCCAGAAGACCCAAAGCAGGTCCAACGCGCAGAGGACCCACAGCAGGCCCAATCACAAGACCCAAAGCAGGCCCAATCACAAGACCCAAGCAGGCCCAGGGCCCAGAGACCCAAAGCAGGCCCAGCCACAAGACCCAAAGCAGGCCCAACCAGGAGACCCAAAGCAGGCCCAGCCACAAGACCCAAAGCAGGCCCAGCCGCAAGACCCAAAGCAGGCCCAACCAGCAGATAACCCAAAGCAGGCCCAACCAGCAGAGGACCTAAAGCAGACCCAACCAGCAGAGGACCTAAAGCAGTCCCAACAGGCAGAGGACCTAAAGCAGTCCCAACCACAAGACCCAAAGTAGGCCCAGCCACAAGACCCAAAGCAGGTCCAGCCGCAAGACCCAAAACAGACCCAACTAGCAGAGAACCCAAAGCAGGCCCAACCAGCAGAGGAACCCAAAGCGGGACCAACCAGCAGAGGACTTAAAGCAGTCTCAACCAGCAGAGGACTTAAAGCAGTGCCAACCAGTAGAAGACCCAAAACAGGCCCAACCAGCAGAAGACCCAAACAGGCCCAACCAGCAGAGGGCAAAGCAGGCCCAACCAGCAGAGGACCCAAAGCAGGACCAACCAGCAGAGGACAAAGCAGTCCCAACCAGCAGAGACCCAAAAGCAGGCCCAACCAGCAGAAGACCTAAAACAGGCCCAACCAGCAGAAGACCCAAAACAGGCCCAACCAGCAGAGAACCCAAAGCAGGCCCAACCAGCAGAGGACTAAGCAGTCCCAACCAGCAGAAGACCCCAAAGCAGGCCCAACCAGCAGAGGGACCCAAAGCAGGCCCAACCAGCAGAGGACCCAAAGCAGGCCCAACCAGCAGAGGGCCCCAAAGCAGGCCAACCAGCAGGGACCCAAAAGCAGGCCCAACCAGCAGAGGACCCAAAGCAGGCCCAACTAGCAGAAGACCAAGCGGTCCCAACCAGCAGAAGACCCAAAAGCAGGCCCAACATAAAGACCCAAAACAGGTCCAACCAGCAGAAGACCCACAGCAGGCGCAACATGAAGACCCAAGACAGGTCCAACCAGCAGAAGACCCACAGTATGCCCAACCAGCAGGACCCAAAAGCAGGCCCAACCACCAGAGGACCTAAAGTGGTCCCAACCAAAGGACCCAAAACAGGCCCAACCACCAGAGGACCTAAAGTGGTCCCAACCAGAGGACCCAAAACAGGCCCAACCAACAGGACCCAAAACAGGCCCAACCAACAGGACCCAAAACAGGCCCAACCACCAGAGGACCCAAAGGTGCAGCAGTAAAAAAATCACGGACTGAAAAACGTTAAGTACTACACTGATCCCACCTTGGAATTGATGACTTCTGTTCAGCAGCCGGGCGAGTACTTCCGATACTGGTGGCCATGCAGATACACGATTCCTGTAAATAAATAAACCACTCTTAATGTGGATAATACAATTTAAACTTGGAATTTCTTAGCATCCATAACTATGTTCATGTGAGGTGGACGTACTTATAAATTAACCCGGGGAGTGGCGTGCTGAAAATGTTCTGGACCTGTGCAGTTCTATGGAAACGTTAATGAAAGCTTGAGGCGTGCTGAGATTACCCCATTAAAGATTAGGTTTGGTTATCTTTTGATCTAACTCCACAGGTCCAGAACATTTTCAGCACCTGTATAATATCACCACATGGCGCTAGGTCCTTGTCCGGTTCACATTTCTTCAGTTTACGGAAATGAACGCTAGTTTATATGGATTTTCTCCCATACAGTACTGAGGCTCTAAAATGTACGTTATTTTCTTCTATCGCGAATATGTACGAGTGTCAATGCTTGTACGAGCATAAAGAAAATTAAATTAATAAAAAGGTCGAAGATAATTCAAGCTACAAATCCTTCCACAAAAATACTCGGAAATGTAAGTCAGTTTCGTCCATCACAAACATGTACTAATCTCAATACTTCTACAGACGTAAAAAAAAAAAAAAAAATTATAGATAACTGAAGCAACAATTCATTTCACATGAATAGTTTAGCTATCACTTATCTTCGTCCTCACCAACCGTCACCCACCGAACTTCCTCTAAGTGGCTAAGTTAAATTCACTTTTTTTTTAATAACTACCAACTTCACACCCCATTTAGTTCACCTAGTTATAAAACATGTAAAAAAATTCCAAAGATTTATGCTGGAATTGATAAAAATGGGACAAATACAATAGTGAAAAAGCGGTTCACTTGCAGAGACCTACCATAGACCACTGGGCGGGAGTCAGCCAGACGCGAGAAGCGAAAAAGGCAGGAAAATTATCATCTACAAATATGTACATATCTCAAGACAAATTGATTAGTTAAACATTAAATCAACTTGATAAAGTATTTTGAAAATAAGTTTACGAAGGAAAAGAAAAAATACGGGAACCATAACTTTTGACGCCAAGTAAGAATTAGCCACAGACGCTTAATACATTTTGCTAGTCGAGCAAGAATCTCGGTGGAGAGCAACGCCAGCCATTACTCTGGTGTTTCATTATCATCGTTGACTTATCTTTTAAGTTATTAGCAAAACTGAAACGCATGCCTTACCCCAGTGTGACATTTTGGCGCCAATTTCTCTCAACTGTCCAGTGCAGAGAAATTGGCGCCAAAATCCATGGCTCCACTTGAGAGGAACATCAGCTCATGCCCAGAACATTCACTAAAATTAACTCTAGAGCGTATAATTTTTGCCCCATACAAAACCAAGGCTCTAAAATGTTACGTTATTTTCGTCTACAACAAACATGTCAGTCTCAATGATTGTACGGGCGTAAATATCCTTCAAGAACATTAAATGCCAAATGATAATTGACCGTTAGTCATTTTTTTCGGATATGGCTTAGAAATTCAAAATTAAAAAAATTATAAATAATTGAAGCCACAATTCATTTCACACGAATAGTTTAGTTACCACTTATCTTCGTCCTCGTCAACTGGCACCCACCAAACTTCCACTAAATAGCCAAGTTAAATTCACGTTTTTATTTTAATAACTACCAGTTTCACACCACATTTAGTCACCTAGTTTTAAAAAATGTAGATTAATTCCAAAGATTTCTGCTAGAAATGATAAAAATAGGAAAAATACAATGAGAAATATATATATATAATATATATATATATATATATATATATATATATATATATATATATATATAATATATATATATATATATATATATATATATATATATATATATATATATATATATATATATATATATATATATATATTATATATATCCAGTATATATATATATATATATATATATATATATATATATATATATATATATTATATATATCCAGTATATATATATATATATATATATATATATATATACATATATATATATATATATATATATAAATATATATATATATATATATATAAATTTTGAGTTTCATTTAACTTACAAAAATAATACGCTGTCAATATTATTCAACCCGAGTGGGAGCAAGTAGGGAGCCAGCGCGGTGGGCGGAGCCCGGTGTGTGGACCCCGTAGATTGCGTCACTGAGCGCGGGAAAACTCAGTCTCGCAGTAAAACGCAGTGCCCGCCGTTGCTACCCTCGACTTATCTCTGATGTTATAAACTCTAGTTCATATGATTTTCCCCCATACAATACCGAGGCTCTAAAATGATTGTATGGGCGTAAATTTCCTTCTAGAACATGAAATACCGGTGTTAATCGACATTTTTTTTATATAATTTAGAAAATTCAATAAAAAGTCTAGAAATTTCAGCCACAATTCATTTCACATGAATAGTTAAGCTATCACTTATCTTCGTCCTAGTCAACCGTCACCCACCGAACTTACTTTAAGTGGCTAAGTTAAATTCACGTTTTTTTTTAATAACTACCAGCTTTACACCCCATTTAGTTCACCTACTTATAAAACATAGTCAATTAATTCCAAAGATTTATGCTGGAATTGATAAAAAATGGGAAAAATACAATAGAGAAAGCAGTTCACTTGCAGCGCCTACCTTTGACTGCTGAATGACCAGTGCCGCTCACTGGGCCAGATGCGGGAAGCGAAAAAGGCGGGAAAATTATCATCTACAAATATGTACATTCGTCAAGACAATTTGATCAGTTATATCAAATATCGATTTGATAAAGTATTTTGATAAGTTTACGAAAGAAAATAAAAAAATACGGGAACCATAACTTTTGACGCCAAGTAAGAATTAGCCACAGACGCTTAATACATTTTGCTAGTCGAGCAAGAATCTCGGTGGAGAGAGCAACGCCAGCCATTACTCTGGTGTTTCATTATCATCGTTGACTTATCTTTTAAGTTATTAGCAAAACTGAAACGCATGCCTTACCCCAGCGTGACATTTTGGCGCCAATTTCTCTCAACTGTCCAGTGCAGAGAAATTGGCGCCAAAAACCATGGCTTCACTTGAGAGCGACCAGGGCAGTCAGCCAGACTGGGTTAGCGAAATAGACCGGAAATTTCTCATTTACAAATATGTACTGTACATATTTCCAGACAATTTGATCAGTTGAATATTAAAAATTTATGTAATAAAGTATTTTGAAAATAAGTTTACGAAAGGAAAAAATACGATAACCATTTCTGGCGTAAGAATTAACCACTAACGTCAAGAATTGACCGCAAACGCTGTTTTATAATATATATATATATATATATATATATATATATATATATATATATATATATATATTTCATGTAAATCATTCTCTTAAGCTCCTCTACGTGTGTTGGTGTGGGGATTAGTGGATGACATCATTATGACCTGACCTCATGTTTTTAAGGTCACCCTGTATATTTAAGCCTCTCTCTATCCATGTAGTCCAGTTGCCTCTGAAGATGTCTTGAATAAAGACGAAAGCTAAGGTGCTCCGTTGTTTCCATTTTCCCGTGTGATTTTATCGATATATATTATATATATATTTCATGTAAATCCACAATGAAAACGTGGATAAGATAAATCTTGATAAAATCACACGGGAAGATGGAAACAACGGAGTACCTTAGCTCTTCTATCTTCAGAACAAAAAGGTATCTCGTTGTTTCCATCTTCCGTGTGATTTATCAAGATTATATATATATATATATATATATATATATATATATATATATATATATATATATATATATATAATAAATTGCGCGTGATCTAGGTATATGCTGATAACCACAAGGAAAGAAAGAAAACACAAGTTCCCAAGCGCTTTCGTGTAATTCACATCTTCAGGGGTGAGTAGACAGTCTGTATCACCCTGAACAGGAAACTTTCTATTATATATATATATATATATATATATATATATATATATATATATATATATATATATATATATATATATAATATATATATACATATATATATATATATAAATATATATATATATATATATATATATAAATTTTGAGTTTCATTTAACTTACAAAAATAATACGCTGTCAATATTATTCAACCCGAGTGGGAGCAAGTAGGGAGCCAGCGCGGTGGGCGGAGCCCGGTGTGTGGACCCCGTAGATTGCGTCACTGAGCGCGGGAAAACTCAGTCTCGCAGTAAAACGCAGTGCCCGCCGTTGCTACCCTCGACTTATCTCTGATGTTATAAACTCTAGTTCATATGATTTTCCCCCATACAATACCGAGGCTCTAAAATGATTGTATGGGCGTAAATTTCCTTCTAGAACATGAAATACCGAATGTTAATTGACCTGTTTTTTTTCAGTATACTGTAGTTTCGAAAATTCAATAAGTCTAGAAAATTTAAGCCATAATTCATTTCACGTGAATAGTTTAGCTACCACTTATCTTCGTCCGCGTCAACTGTCACCCACTGAACTGATCTGATCTGACTTTCTGCCTCATTTACATAATTGCAGGGTTTCAATTGTTTCTCTTACTATTAACACAACACACATACTGTATATCGTTTCTCCCTTTTGATTTACTTTTTTCATTTTTGTATTTATGGTTATCATTATTTTTTTTTATTTTTTTTTTTTTTACTTATTATAATTATTATATTTTCGCCCCAAGATCCTGATGTGGGGCCAGTGACCTGTGCCCAGGTGCAGGGCCAGATTTACCAATAGGCCAA